CTTGCAGGCAGGAGGCGGCCGGAATATTTGCAGCTTTGGACTGGAGGCACTAAATTCCGCCCCCTTGAGCAGAATGTTTTGTGGGCCTTCAAAAATGTTAGCAGTTCCCGAGTATTCTGTGTAGGAGCAGCAGCAGCATTGTCTGAACCTCTCTCGTGAGACTTTTCACGTCGGGCCTCTAAGTGATGACTTTTCCACATTTTTCTTTGCCCCAGGTGTTTACAGCAGCCCAGGTAGGAGGGGACCTAGGAGCATGATCTGGGCCAACATTTCCTAGGAAAAGGAGCCCACGTGAGGTTACCCTGTCCAACTGCATCTCAAAACCTCTAGGGACAGAGACTCTGCAATGTTCCTGTGGAGATGGTTCCACTGAATGATTGTTTTTACTGTAAAAAAACCCTCATTTTAACGATGGCTTTCTGTGTTAATGCCTCTCTTCATTTTTACAGAGATCGAAAATTATATAAGCTGGGATTAAAAGGATTTTATGTCAAAGATGACAATGATAGTACAGGTAAGGTAATGAAATGTAATGTGCAGTATGATGTGCAGTTAAAGTGAGCTTCATGTGGTTATTTAAGGTACTGTAGGACCGTATCACTGCTAACCCATAGTTTTGTTCTTATTTCTGCGTTGATTTTCAGTGCTTTTGCTACAGGGATGGATGTGAATAACTTGACGCTCGTGTAACTTTCAGGTTACTATAATCTTGATGTGGAATTTTATGTCAAACCAGGTGCAATGTTTGTTTCTGTCTGAACAGACTTCCCAGCTCACATAATCTCTACCTGATGCATAGAGTAGATTAGCATACAAGTACTGCTCTCAAATCATAATTTCGGCTTCCCTATCTTGAAACTAATTATATAATGGAGGGTCTGCAAATCCTAGATATTTGCCTGGGAGTAATGCTGTCCTCCTGCCTCTATCCCAGCCTAGGGCATTAGCTGTTGCTGTTTAATCTGCTGGGCCAGAAGCAGAGAAGAAGCAGTAGTCCTGATGGGGGAAATTATGATTTGCATGTACGTGAAAGTCATGTGAGGAGGAACGGAGGAGTAAGTCTCTTGCTGCTTGCTTCTATTTTGGGAATAATCATGGTGCATGCTCTGGCAAATTGAACACCAGTCCCTTGCTCTGTCTTCTCAAATTCCCCACACGTGCATATCTGAACGTGATTTTTTTGGTATCTGATTTTTTCAGTTGCTACTTCCAGCATCATATAGTATCTTGATTTGAAAGGAAGGAGCCTGAACAGAAAGGGATGTTCATAGAAACTGAAAGAGTAGCACAGGTTGGATGGGGGCAGTGTGAATGGAGTGAAGAAGGAGAATATAAACCATGTTTTTGTGCACGTGAGAGTAATCAGTTAAAAACAGAAGAGTCTTGTGCTGTGCAGTAATTTGGTAGTAAATATATCCTGATCAAAAAAAAAATCTTATATTTTTTTAGTCTTATCAACTGTGTCAAGAGCTTTTGTATTTCGTAAGTTTCATTAATATACAGTTCCTACTTTCTCAATGGTATTTGTCATTCTATATATGTATGATGTTCCTTGAAAATATGATAAATGTGGAAGCGCTGTTTTGATAGTTAATCAGTTGTTTCTGAGATAACTGTGTTCAGTAGGTCACACATTACATTTTTGTAAAATCCTGTAAAGAATTTTCTTTTTCTAATATTAATTTTTTGTTGTTTGCTGAGTATTATAGCTTTCTGTACAAGTTATTGAAGCGAATGTTTGTGGTGGGTTGTCCCCAAGCACCTGTACCCTCTACCCCAGTTTTTATTCTTGAGCATCACATTATAAGGTGTTGAGTATCCCCGCGGCTAGTTTGGGTCAGCAGTGTCCCCTTCTGATCTCTTGCTGGGCCCAGGCTACTTGCTGGAGAGGGCAGAGTAGAGAAAAGAGAAAATTACGAAGCTGTGCAAGCACTGCCTAGCAGTAGCCAAAACATGGATGTGTTATCCAGGCTTTTATCCACGGATCCAAAACACAGCACCTCGGGGACTGATACCAGGAAAGTTTACTCCATCCCAGCCAGACTCAGTGCAATGTTTTGGCTGTCGAAGTTAGATGTTGGCTCCTACTGATAGGTGTGCAGAAAAGATGTTTTATGATGAAAATTTGAAATGGGAAAGGAAGCTCAAGAGCTCTACAGATTTTTGTAGGTCATGCTGTTGCATTGAGTGTCAGAAGCAGATTTTATTTGCTTAATATGATTTGTTACTAGGGGAAGAACAAGCATCCGAGGAGGAGAACCGTTGCTCCAATGGGACCTTTAAGGTGGATACTAATCACGCGCTCGACCTGGAAGAAGTTGAACTAGACTCTGAGGCCGAGCTTATGAAAAGTATGGGATTGCCTCTTCAGTTTGGTGGGCAGGCAGCCCACAGGGACTGTGTGGTAAATCTTTGATTAATTGGTTCTTTTTACTTTGTGTTTCCAGACTTAGGGATGTGCCTGCTCCTCAGTTATTTTTGAGACTGCAGTTAAGCTGCCTACCTGGATACTTGTGAGAACATACAGCACAGTGGTCTGTGCAGTTTCTAAAATCCACTTGCCAGTTTGACTAAACAGGCTCAGGCTGTGCTTTATGCTTCCATATCCATATTTCTCTTGCTACTAGAAAAAGCTAATTTAAAGCAGCCATGGCAACATCGATGCTCTGTGTTAGGACAATTAGTACGCTCCAGTCTGAGCATGTGTGTTCACACTGTCTGCTTTAACTATTTAGCTTTAGATACTAATATAGAAACATAAAATGTGTTAGGTTGGAAGGGACCTCTAAAGGCCATCTAATCCAACCTCCCTGCAGTAAGCAGGGACATCTTTAACTAGATCAGATTGCTCAGAGCCCTGTCCAACCTGACCTTGTACACTTCCAGGAATGAGCCTGGAAGTGTACACTTCTTTGGGCACACAGCTTCTTTGGGCAACTTGTTCCAGCGTTTCACCATCCTCATAGTAGAGATTATTTTCCTAATGTCTAATCTAAATCTACTCTGCTCTAGTTTAAAACCATTGCCCCTTGTCCTGTCACTTGTGAACAGCACCTCCCTAGCTTTCCTGTAGCAGCCCCCTTCAGGTACTGGAAGGCTACTATAAGATGTCCCTGGAGCCTTCTCTTCTCCAGGCTGAGCAGCCCCAACTCTCTCAGCCTGTCTCTGTAGAAGAGATGCTCCAGCCCTCTGATCAGCTTTGTGGCCCTCCTCTGGATACGCTCTCAGATTTCTCTTGCAGGCTGTTCCAAAGGACGGGAGTGAGGTTTGGGTGCTCCGCTTCCCATAGGGAGCATTTGGACTTTAGAGGAAAACTGAAGTTGTTCACAGATAAGAAGAGACAGTGGAATATTCATATTGTCCACTGTATGGAATACAGACCTTGCTGGCAGTGAGAGAATACTTTTGTGCAGAGCACTCCGTGTTTCTGACCTGATTAATTTGTGAATAAATAGGCGACACTTGTATGTTATTTTACTTGATGGCATGTAAATAGACCTTACAGGCATCTGACTTCAAGCCCAGAACATACGAGCAATTTTTGTTGTTATGTAGTAATGCTACAAATAGGTTGAATGAGAAAATACTGATGTTTTTACTAGATTACTAAGCGTTGTGCTTTGCACTTTCTATATTAACGTGACATTGAAGTATGTGGATGGGAAACGAATGCAAGTCCTCTGAACCTAGCTTCTTTGCAGTCCACCTTAGGCGTTTGTCAATGCAACAAAGCTAGGGATTGCAGCTTGATGGGGCATTTGGAGTAATATCTGTATATTTACAGTCTTTTGCCCATGTGAGTGGTAGTCCCTCATCACCATCGCCTTTTTACCTGCCAAACCTAATTTGACAGTTCATGAAAAAAAATTACAGGTTTATCTGATAGAAAAACTTGCTCTTCTTGGATGTTTGTTGTGTTTATATCTCTAAGCACAGAAACCCTCACTGAAACAAGTGTATTGGATGAAATGAACAAGTTACCTTAGTGTTTCTTTTCAGTAGCAGGTTTCTGTCTTGTATTCCACTAGACAAACTGTAGCAGTCTTGAGTTTGTTGTAACAAGTGAGGTGGTTGTATGGCACAAGTGAAAGGGCCACCTGTTTGGAGAGACTGTTGCCTTGTGTTTCTGTTACCCATCTTGGAGATCATTATGGAATGAGAAGAATATGGTGCCTCTTTTGGGTCAGTATCTCCAGACATACAGGAATTCAGCTGCAGGATTTACAGAGCTTTGAGTATAAAGTAATGCACTTTTGTATTATTTTTATTTTTTTTGTTTAAAGCACCCAAAGATAGTAAGGATTTACCATTCTATTAGGCCAAGCATTAAATGTTCACTGACCTAATAAGACATCTGAACGGTGTTCACTGGCCAGGCAGATACCAGGTGGCAGTAAGTCAGCCTCCACCGCTCCTTAAAACAGGTCCTTGATATTACTGAGATACTGTTTTACTGTTGAGCTTAACCCAGTGACCCCTCAATTCCCAACCAGCCTCCCTGTAGGATTTTACAGTGTTTCATGTTGAAGCCTTTCCTTCTGAATCTCTCAGCAGCCCCTCTTCTCTCTGTAATTTTGCCTTTTTGTAATTGTGTCTTTCTATAGACTTTCTCACAGCTCTTTCTCACAACTTCTTCAAAAATGTGAGGAAAGGTTATGAGGTGGGACTCTATCAGACCCATATCCCTACAACCTTTTGTGGGGAGAAAGCTAACAGTAGGGTTGCAACAGAAGAAAGAAATGTACTTGGAGAGAGGGCAAACTGCATATATATTGTGGACTTCTAAGTATGATTTTCTATTATATTTTAGGCAACAGAAAGTTACAGAAAGAGAAATAACATGAAGGTTATGAAAAAGAAAAAGAAGAACAAAAAAGAGTTCCGGCAAAAACATGTGGATAAAAGGGGGCAGGAATGCGAGGATCAAGCTTGTGGTGGCTATATACAGCCTGTTTCTGGTGAGCTGGCCCTAGCTGCAGAGCAACATGATGAAGGAAGCAAACCTCATCCTGTAAGTGAGGGGAACTGTGAAAGCTCAGAAAATCTTGCAAATGAGGCTTTACCCAGTGAACTTAAAGAAAAATGGGAGAAGTACTGGAGTGAGTACGGAGAGAGCCTTCTTTGGCAAAGTTGGCTGGAGAAGCACCAAGAGGCGTCATCGTCTGAGGCCACCACAGCCTCTGAGCCTTGGAATAGTCCAGACACCAAGGAAGTATGGGAACAACATTATAGCGAACTGTACTGGTATTACTGGGAACAGTTTCAGTACTGGACAAGTCAAGGATGGACTACTGAGAGTTCACGTGGTGACAGTGTGGAAGCTGGTGGGGTTACCCAGGAGATGGGTCTTTTGGTTGACCCAGGGGCTGAACACAGTGAAGTGCTGAACTTGGAGCTGTCTCACCCTAACACTAGAAATGAGGAAGCATTCCCTTTGAATGCTGAGCCCCACAGTGAAATAACCTCTGGGATTTGTAATTTAGATCTGAATTTGGAGGAAGTGGAGCAGGGCAGTGGAGCTCTAACAGCATCCCACCGAGGTCCTCGGGAGAGTAGCTCATCTGACAGTGAAAGCCAGAAGGAGCCCTGTGATGGAGGAACCAGAAAAAGGAGAGCATCTTGTGAAAAGAAAAGTATCAACCAGTCAGGTAATAGGAAATCAGCTAAAGTTTATTTTACCATTTTTTTTTCTGTGTATAAGAAACAATGGCATGTTTCTATTGTACCATTTTAAAGAAGTTGGTCAAGTATTTTGTGGAGTCGTTATGTATTTGATTCCTTTTTCTTCCCTCTGTTTCACTGGATGATTTCTCTCCTCTCCAACCTGTATGTTGAATGTGTTCTTGAGGCAGAAATTATTTTAACAGAACACATGCTTCATAAATCTTCAAATGTACCACAGAAAGTAGTGAGAGTGCACTGTTGTTACATATTTATTTATCTTAGTATTGATATTGCAATTGTGTCATTCAGCTGATGTGTTTTTCTCAATGATAGTCTAAAATGAATGAAAACTCAGATTTATGTTCTTATGAATCTGACAAATTTTATAAAGAGCTTTTCGAGGGGGAAAAAAAAGTAGTTTTGCAGTTCTAGGGTTGGGTTGTGTTTGGTTTTTTTTTTTTTGCTTTTATAAAGAGCTTTTCGAGGGGAAAAAAAAAGTAGTTTTGCAGTTCTAGGGTTGGGTTGTGTTTGGTTGGGTTTTTTTGCCTTCCTTCTGAAAACGCCATACTTGAAAATAAACTCTTGTTTTGTTGTACTGTGTTACTCTGAACTAGGTGTCTTCCAGAGGTCCTTTCTGGCGATAAGTTATCAATTAGGCAGTGAGCTGCAGTCATCTTTACAATCCTAAGTTCATACGTTTGCAACTAGTGCTAACAAGTGAAGGTGCCAGGTAACATAGTAGTATGGAGAAAGCTTGTGGCTGTGCCTTAAATTGCTGGAGGAGCTTCTCTGAGGGAGGTACAAGACTGGGCTGGAGATATTTTTCCCAACCAGTTCAGTGTGCAGAAAGGGAGAGCACCATCTCACTTGCCCGCTGGTTCTTTTTGCCAGCGTTCGCTGCAAGCAGCAGCGTATCTGTCGTCTTTACTGGCTGTTGTGTGATTCCTTCTCCTGAAGAGGAGGGATGAGGCATACGAGTTGAGTGTCGGCAGCTTGGGACTTCAGTTTGGTGGGAAGCCTCTGAATCCACTGCCAGTGACATGCTAAGGGAGGAAGAAATAGGTGTGGTCATATCTTGATCCTAAAGTAGAGTTGGAATGGGAGAAGTGGAAGAAAAATGTCCTTTCCACCAAGAAATTAGAGGAATGTTGGAGTTTTCTCTTATTAAATGCATGTGAATATCTTTGTATAGCTAATGAAGTGGAAACAATTTATGCACGAGGAAGACAGTGTTCTAAATCTGTACCTTTTAGGCATTTTATTCTTGGAGAGCTGAGATAGTTTGAAGTTGGTCCTGCTTAAGGTTATTAACTCTACAGTGTAACTAGTCCTGGAGGCTTGTACTGGTGTGTTTGGCACTTCTACCTTATCTGTCAGATTCAGGTATGTACAACAGCCTAACTAGCTACAGACGTACTTTGGGGACAGGAAGATAAGGAATTAATACAGAAGGAAAATGTGATCTTGTCTATCTTTTTTTTTAGGTTCGGAGGGGTCATGTAGTTCAAACTCAAATGACAAAGAACAGTTGCTGCTTCACGACCAAGATGAAGATGAGGATGAAGAACCTCCTGAATACAGACATGTCAGAGTCAAGAGAAGGCAAGTCATGAGTTTAGATGTGCTTTTTTTTCTCAAGAAGCCCAAGTCCAGAAACCTCCTATTATGTAATAACTGTTTGATTGAGATTGTGAACTAAAACTTCAGTACAAAACCATGTAGTCTTCCATCACTGCTTGTCACTTCACCTGGCAGCAAGTGGTGGATGTTTCTTCTCTTCCATCGCATTATGAAAGCAATATATTTTCTTGATGACTGTGCAAGGTGATGGTACTGTTCTTGTGCCACTGAAGTACACAAGATTGTTAAATTGTATAGGAAAACTTGCTTATCTAGGTCTAGTTAGTGTAGATGATACAAGAATGACAGTAAATATTTTGTATTGTTTAACTGAATTGTATCCTGCCAGTAAAGTGCTCAGTGCAGTGGCTTCCCTAAAGTAATCTCTGCCTTGTCATGGTCTTTTTTTTCTTCCCTAAAAATTTTTAGCCTCAAAGCTAATGAGGTAGCTCTTCCTCCCTAATAAATTTACGAACTCAAAGGTGAAGGGTTGGATGGAACTATTATCTGCTAATCATGTAGCTTTGGGTTTGTTCTAATATTTTGCTGTCTCCATAGCACTGATAATAAATAGTAACATAGGTAACATCATAGATGATGGTACGTGCTCATGTGTATGAATAGGCTTGTGTTATCAGCCTTGCTTGGTTTCAGCAAGTGAAGGGACTTACTGAAGCCCACATTGGTTTTCGACACATGATTTTTGTAGTGGAGTATCTGTAAAACAAGAGTGTTTTTTACAATGAGTAAATCTCTCATCTGCATTTTTTCCTAGTCATGAACTGGATGTGGATGAGAACCCAGTGGAAGATCCTGAGGAAACCTGCTCTGCTTTGGGTTTCAAGTGTGGCACAGGACAAAAGTAATGGCTTATGAGGAACTTGGGGTTTCTATGTAGCAAGTCAGCTCTCTTGTTATTCAAATAGACTGTTTTGTTAAACTTTTGAAGATGTCTCTGTTCTTGATAAAACTGTCTTCCTTTGGCTAGAGAGAGATATGCAAAGTCACAGAGTAATTAAAGAATGACGACTGTGCTTTGAGACAGAAGTGGAACGCGTAATGTACTTGCCGTTTTGTAGACGTTTAATGACTGGTCCCTGACCACGAATGGTCCTCATGGTTTGGAGTCCTGTGAGCTTATATCATAATTTTCAGTTGTTTCATACTGGAATGAGGTTGTTTTATACTAATAAACATTTTTAAATAAAAACATTTAAAGGCTTTCGGGAAGGTACAATGTTTTGCAGCTACATCCAGTGACATATATTTGAATGTCTCGTAAAGAAATACTTCAGTCTAATTCATTTTCTGTAGACATAAACAATCATGTTAAAGCTTCAAGACTGGAAAATAACCAAGTAATTTATTTTAGGGGTTTTTTTTAATTTCAGGTATGGTGGAATTCCAGATTTCACCCACCGAAGGGTGCAGTACTTGGAGAAAAAAGCAAAACTCAAGTCCAAATTCTTGGATATGCGTAAACCAAGGAAGAGCAAAAACACACACATCTTCTTCACAGAGGAACCTGAAACGTCTTGCAAAAAAAATAAAACTTTGAAGCGGGTACGTTTAATTTAGTGTTGCTGTGATTCCTAGATTTTCTGCTCTATGAAAAAAAAAAATTAATTGCCCAAAGTAGGCAGCATTTTTTAAGTGTCAGTCCACTGCTCCTTGATTTTTTTTTCTCTCCTGTTGTCTTGTTTTTTCCTTTTTTTCCCTGCTTAGATGAAGAGTAGTTAGGTTAGGGTGCCTTTGAAAGGCATTGGTGGATTCTTGGCAATCTGTCAGGAGAAATTTGAACTTAGTGGCTGAATTATGTCAAAACCATTCCTCTCATGTGGGTGCGTCATTCCTTTGGAGATGTATGTAGGTTTCTGTTGTTACTAGAAGTATCTCTGATTTTAAAATGCAAGTGTATGCATTTGTTAGTGCTGGCATTTCAGCAGTGAGAGAAAAATGCTTGTATAGGTTCGTGTATTTCATGTAACTCCATGTAAGTTAGTCCATCTTAGTAATTTGTATTAACATTTCTTGCTTACACCTCTGCCTGCATTTATTTTCACTTATAACTTTATGCTTTTTTTTTTTAACTTGTGAATGAATAATGAGTAGGAAAACCTGTTTTGTGTAGATTTTTCTTAGTTGGATCACTTTAAAATCTGTTACCTCAGATTTTCAGTGTTATTTTTGCCTTCTTTGGGGATGTTTGGCATTCCCTAACACCTGAGTCAAAACACTGTTCTCTGGTGGTGGTGACACATATTGTGTTGAACTCCGCTCCCATTGCTGCAATTTTTGATCAAAGGATGTAACACTGAGCTCTCTGCTGTGCAGCAGAACTCTTTAGCACAATGCACCATTTAGTACGTCTTGGAGATGAGGCAACTAATGTATGAAGATAATTTTACCTGTTTATGCTAACTTGAAAGGCAGAGTACAGTCTCTCTGAATGCAGACTTGGAAACAAGATAGTTAATTAAAAAGTAGAAGTCTTGGTCACATGTGTGATGGCAAGTCTTGCTATTTATATTTCAGATATTATTTAAGAACCATTGACTGTATTTATCAGTTGATTTTGTGGAGTTTCTCTTTTGCCAGTAGCTGGCATCTGGTTCCCAAAGACAACTGATTTCCAAACCCTGCAAAAAACGAAGCACAGTTAACGGCTTTCTGAACATTTTTATTGTGGATATTTTACTTTTTTCAAAATACACGTGGTAGAGAGCACTTGCATGGCAGATGCTTTTAAATTGCACTCTTAGAAGCTGTTTTAGTGGCACCACCTAATTGTCCATGATATTTGGCAATAGGTGGAAGAGTTCCTAAAGCAGGTTAATAAACACAGCGAGGAAGCCACGTGCCAGACAGCCTCCCCTCCAGACAAAGCAGAGGCATATGCCGTGGACAACTCGGAGGATCAGGAGAGCATTGCTGCCACCCGGGCTGCGACGCTGAATGATGAAAACCAAAAGCGACCATCTTCCAGCGTGGCCTTCGCAGAGCCGGGAGGGAGTAACCCCAAGGAGGTGGCGTGGGAGCTGGCAGCGAGCAGCTCTGATGGCCGAGGTGGGGAGAGGCAGGAGCGTGTCTGTGGGCGGCAACTGGTCCCTCTGGATATTCCCGATTATCTCCAGACAGAGATGGAGGACGTCAGCCAAGGTACCTCAGTTTCCTACAAAGTGGAGATGAGTTGACACTGAACTTAATACTGCCTTCCTAAATTTCAACGTTCTGTGGTGTTTATTTATTCTGTTTGTTCAAAGAGACTCATTAGGTCTAAAGGGTAATGAGATCAGTTGAGACCTCTGCTAGTGGAAGTAGTTTATTCCTGGAGCACCAGAATCCCAGTTCTTGTCTTTAGTATTGGCAGTATTTCTTTATAGAGCAACAGTCATTGCTGAGCAGATCTGCAGTTCACACTCTTTTTCCCCTGTAAGGATGAGGGCAAGCACAGAACATCAGATTTTAGATTTTCAGATGGATGAGTTCTGATTCTCTTCCTGTGAGGTTGAAGAGGACTGTGAGTTGTTAAAATTATTTCCCAGGGGGAAAAAAAAATCTCCATTACAAACTCTTCTACTTAACACTTAAAATAAGATTATTCAAGTTTCTACAAGTAATTTAATCCTTCCTACAGTAATTCAGTTGTCTAGATTGGTTCTTATTCTTGGCTTTTATAAGGGCATTATACTGGCCTCCAATCCATTTGTGTGGTCACTATGTAGAGTTTGTTGCCGTCACTTGAAGATGATTGCTAGCCTGTTAAGGCTCTTAAATAATGAGTGAAGTGTTGGGATTTGTAGGACTGACTGATGCCTGTCAGGTAACACTATTCCCTTGAAATACAGGATGCGGTTTTTCAGTGTAAATCACTAATCCACGTAATCTGGCAAACTAATACAGGATGTTTAGCAGTGCAGTTAAACACAAGCATTTTATAGATGAACTCTCACCTACCTACAGATTACATTCCTAGCCTACAAGAACAGTGATTGTTAACTTTTGCAGTGTCTTCCAGCTGTAGATGAAAAGATTACCACAAAGAAGAAAGAGAAAAAAAGGAGAAGGAGGAATAAAATTGCCCCAGGAGCTGTACCTGCTGAGATTGCTGCTGATCCGGAGCTGGCCAAGTACTGGGCACAACGCTACCGGCTGTTTTCGCGGTTTGATGAGGGAATTAAACTAGACAGAGGTGTGTTTAGTAACTGTTTCATGGTATAAGATGGCCCATCTCACAGTTTATTACTGATTTCCTTATAAGAGATGCGTTTGCACCTCTGGATAAATGCCATTCTCCAGCAGGCAGGTGAAACAGATGTCTTGGGCTTCAGTAGAGGTTCTAGCACAGGCCACCCCTGTTTGCATTAGTCTTGGTGTTTACCAAAATTATGTACCTAAATTAGTCGAGACTTTCTCAGAAACTCAATAACATTTTTCTCCTTCTATGTTTTATAAAAATAATTTTGTGAAACTTCCTAATATGCTGATGGATCTGGTTTTGTTCTGGCTGGTTTGGACTTTAGCAGTCACTTTCAGAATTTTTTTTTTCTATGTTTATGTGGAAACCACTTCCAAATCATTAATTTGTAGGTAAAGGAGGAATTACAATTACTGCGCCTTGTTTTGTAAACCTTTCATTTCTAATGCTTTCCCATATAAACACGTAGATTATTTGACAGACCAGACATTGCTGTAGAGAAAATAACATGCCAAATAAAGCCAGAAACATTTTGTCTCTTATTTGTTACACAGCGTGATAGTGACATACAAAGTTTTTGTAGCTGTCTTGGTGGACTTGACCTTGGTAAGCCAGAATCCTCAGCACCAAGTTCAACAAAGCATTTACTGATATTTGGGCATGTTTTTTGCTTCAGTAAGACTTTGTTTGCTTAGCAAATTGCTGTGCTGACCAGAGTTTTTTATCTTGCAAGCCTGTATTTCCTGGTGAAATGCACTAAGCCAAAATTATTGGGATTAATGCTAAACCTTCATCTGTGTGTGGCGGTTGACTGTTTTTAATTTAGATGACCTTGAAATAAGAGGCAAAAATACACTTCTTTTGTTTCCTTTGCAGAGGGTTGGTTTTCTGTTACTCCTGAGAAAATAGCTGAGCATATTGCTGTCCGCGTTAGTCAGTCATTCAACTGTGATATCATAGTGGATGCATTCTGTGGGGTTGGAGGAAATGCTATTCAGTTTGCATTGACCTCAAAAAGAGGTAAGCAAATATTATTTTGTTCCTTCAATCTTTTTCTCTAAAAATTAGGGTATGCGCTTTGTTTGCTTATTTTTTTTTTCAGTGCTTCTGAAGCGATAGAAGCTTTTTTTTTTTTCCTTCATCGGACTCACAGTATGAGCTTTCTGTTTTTACACAGAACCTACAAAACTGCTTTTCTAAGTCAAAGTTGGATTTGTGTTGTGTAAGTCAAAGTCATTCTTAACGTGGCATAGTAACTCGTCTCTTGGATGCTCTGAGGAATGCTGGTAAAGGTCGAGTTCTGCTTGCTGTGCCAACCTGCAGAGACACCACAACTGTTACGCCAAGTCTGCATACACAGAAGCAAATTATGTGTGAATAGTACTTAAAACACTTGAATGGGATCACCTGCATGTGCCGAAGAACCAGAAAAAAGTGATAACTTAATACTTGTCTAGGTCCCTATTGCCAGCTGATGAATTTGCAATGAAATGTTGAGAGTGCTTTCTGTAAAAACATTGACTACTTGACACTCTACTCATTACACACTGGTAAAATACCAGCTCATCTAACGCTTCTGAGTAATTTCTGAGCAAGACAAATGGTGTTTTCCTACTGCATTAAATTTGGCAGGCTGTGATCCATTCCATAAATATTTTCTAAGTTTCACTTAGCTTTTTGTATCTCCTGGCTAAATTTCTATTATTATTCTATTCTATTTCTATTATTATTCTATTATGTATTACTCTTTTATAATCTATGTTGTGCTCTGTTGGGTGTTTCTAGTTTTTCTTTTAAGCTTGATTTTCAGTACAGTATGATCAGATGCAGATAAACCTATGTCTTTAACAAAAGAGAAGAGTAAGTTTCTAACTGACACCATTTAGACTGTCAGACTCTTGCCAAGACTGAAGTGAGGAGACCTTTCTCTCTTAGATGGTCAGACTTACCTGTTCACTGCTTGAGCTGAGATGGAGATTGTTGTGGTAATAGTTGTATGACTACCAAAAGCTGAAGCTTTCTAGCTTTGCAATAGCAGCTGAGGCCTCCCGGTCTTGGTTCCGTGGCTTCCCTTGCTGGTTTGCAAATGCAGCTTCTTTGATCTTTGTGGAACCTCGGTTTCTGCCACGCAAGGGCAGGTCCTTCCCCTCTGAGGAACTGTAGCTTCCTACCTACCATGACCTACAAAACTGATGTAGTCAGTCACTGCACAACAGTAGGCAATAGATGTGGCTCGCATCTGGTGGCTGCAGAAGACCACCTTCCTTCTGAAACATCCTTTTGGTGGTCAGGTGGCATTTGCTGTTCAGGTTAACCTGTGTGTTTGCTCTCTCTCTCGTTTGCAGTGATCGCTATTGATATTGATCCCGAGAAGCTCAGTCTCGCGCGCAACAACGCTGAGGTGTACGGCGTGGCGGATCAGATAGAATTCATATGTGGGGACTTCATGGTGCTGGCTGCTGACCTGCAAGCAGATGTCGTGTTCCTCAGCCCGCCCTGGGGGGGGCCTGACTATGCCACTGCAGAAATCTTCGATATTCAAACCATGATTTGCCCAGATGGATATCCTTTCAAAGTTATGCATTGTTGTGATTTTCGGCTGTTGATAAGCGGTTTTCTCTTTCTTCTTCTTCTCTTGAGTTGGGCTGTGCTTGTTCAGTTGGCTGACTAGCTGATAAAACCAGCAGCTGAATTCCTAGATGTGCCATGTTTGTTCAGTCCTCCTCCTCAACCTCAGCTATGTGACTTTGACCACGTAAAATTAAATATTCTTATTGCAATTTTTTATTTTAAAAAAGTCATGTTATTCTCAAAAGTAAAAAATCCTGTAGAGAATTAGAGTAGCTTCTTAACTTTGAGCATTAACTGAGCAATTTTAACTAATTTTATTAAAATACCCTGAAGTAATCAAGTAGCCATGTGGTGTGTGTATATATGAGTAATAATTAGTTACCTGAGCTATGACTTTCTCATAAATTCTGCTTTTTAAATAATTTATAAAAGGTATATTTTATTTAAAATATCTTACTGAAACTATTCTCAGTCATAGCATCTGCTTATGACTTGGGAAGTCACAGAAGTGTGCAAGCAAAATATTAACCATTTTAATAATATATATTAAGTTCCATACTAACTTAACAGTGATATTGAGCACCCATTCATCTCGGAAGGTATGAGTGTGATAGTTTCATCAAGTATGATGTGTGGTGGGTTTTTTCCCCAAAAATAATCTAATTTTTTTGGCTGAAATGTAGCCACATTTGTAAGAGTAAGAAAACCTTTGTACGTGTGTGCGAGAGATAATCCACTAAATGGATTAAAAAGCAGATATCAAACGAATGTACTGTCTATAAACTATGTTTAAGTTTCTGAAATACTTCTCTGTAGTTTGGTTAAATTTTCTTTTAAAGTGAATATGGGAGGTTTTTTTCCTACTTCTTAGGGCAATAATGATGGAATAGAGTTTAGACAGTACTAATTTCTGCATTTCAGAAGAGTATCTGACTTGCACACCCAGAAGACTAACTATAATTTAATGGCATAATAACTAATTTGAGATATGCTTACGACTATAAAGCATCTTCTTTTCCCATTCTTTGTTTTTTTCCTTTACTAGCTTCTACATTTGAAATTTTCAGGCTCTCCAAGAAGATCACCAACAATATTGTGTATTTTCTACCTCGGAATGCTGACATTGACCAGGTGTGTTACTGGATATGGGCTTGGTAATTACAGAAGAGTCAGCTGGCTTAAAACATAGATATTTGAGCACAAAATTAAGACTTTTAAGTCCGTTCAGCTGGGGTTGGTTTAAGTTTGAACCTTATGTTAGGTGATTTCTGTGTTTGCAGTACTTCTGATATAAAGATACATTTAGCAGAATATTTCCATGGTTTTGATGCTGTTCCTTCATAAAGAAACAGATTGGAGGTTCTTACAGAAGATCCAAAACTAGTAGATTTCTTGAGTGCCAGACAGATGCATCATTAAAAAAGAAAAAAATATATTTTCACTGTTTTTTGCCATCTGGTAAGTTGCCGAGTCCTAAAGTTTCATGGCTTTCAGTTTATGAAGGAGTTGCAGGAAATCAGTGCACAGCCTGCCATCACTACTATTACTGTTAGTAGGTCAGAGACAGATGTTAGGCCACTGGAGGTGGTACTGAGGCTGTCCACAAATGTGTGGTTCCATATGGGCTGCTTGCATTACACTGGTTAGTTTGATGCATCACTAACTTGATAAAGACACGATTTGTTTCAGTGGTGTGGGGGTTTTTATATTAGAGAATTTTGTTAGATTTTTTTTTTTTTAAAGTAGTTAAATGACTAACGGTTCACTTGAGTGTCTGGTTTTGTTTCCTCTGTGTATTTTTGGTGTCAATTAGGTCTTGTAGCTTTTTGCAAAGAAAAACAGATGTTCTCACCTGCAACACACCACAGAACTTCTTAGGATTGTTTCTTGCGTTTCCAAAAGCTGTGTCTGACTTAGAGCAGACAAGGTCTCAAGTCTTATAGTGGCTTGCAGAGTTGGTGGTGACAAACAGCTGGCTCGAGAAACAGGCTAAAATTCACGTGCCCTGAATATTAGCACACTGCGAGCCTGTGCTTTGCACGTCACCATTTGTACAGTAAGTGATGATGATTCAGTTGTGTCTTGCATTTCAGACTGGTGAAATGTCAAAGTGGTTATGAGTCTTTGAACATGGGCCTTAATTTTGGACAGTGTTTCTCTAGTTTCAACTTGTAAGCACTGCATGTTATTAACTGCTTCATTCCCATGGTGAAGAATGCCTTTCTAGGTTCCTTGACCTTACCATGTTTCTGCTTTGCTCATGAGTACTTTTTACTGGATCTATACATGGGAAAAGGCATCTAAATTTCACTTAAGTCCCTATAGAGGCATCTAACAGCACTATCCACAGGCCTGCCCCTATTCCTGCAGAAGAGCTCAACACTTCTATGTGACTGGCATCTCGCCACCTCTGCATCCTGGTCTGTTTGGCTCTGAGTATTTTTGGTGTTCTCCAAGGGTTCCTTGGTGTACATCCACGGGTTTTCCTTTATACAGTGACTGAAAAATATTTTTTTGCAGGAAACTAATACCTGAAAATTGAAAAACTTGAATAAGGCAATATTTAGTGTAGAGATTATCTGACCCCTTAAATTTGAATGGAAACTTAAAACCTAAAATTGATTTGTGGTGACATTGATGTAAGGTTTGCCTCTTCTGTGTCCTCACAAATTAACTCTATCCTCGTAAACATACAATAGAGTGCTTAGCTCCTAGAACCTCCTAGAGGGAGGTTTAGATTGGATATTAGGGAAAAACAATTTCATGGAAAAGATTGTTAAGCATTGGAACAGCTTGCCCAAGGAAGTGGCTGAGTCACCATTCCTGGAGGTATTTAAGAGATGTGTAGATGTGGTGCTTAGGGACACGGTTTAGTGGTGGACTTGGCAGTGCTGGATTAATGGTTGGACTTGATGCTCATCTTAAAGGTCTTTTCCAACCTAAATAATTCTATGAATAGGTGATCTAATGTGCTTAACATATAATGTGACAGTTGTTAAAATTTGAGTATTCTGCCTCTTGTCTCTTCTTGATTGGCTTGAATCTAGAAGTGAGGTGTGCCTGCGTGCTTTGTCAATTAAAATTGATTTAGAAGCTGACTTAATTACTATTGCAAGCCTCCAAGAAGATATTTTCACTGATTGTAACACGGAATAGGGATGTTGCTGTTGGTATGAAAGCAGGTGGTACTTGTCCTTGACCTGGCTGTGTCAGAGGATTTTGTCCGTGTTCATTGCCTTATTGGTAGATGAGACATCCAACCTTGTTTCACATAATTTTAATGCAAAAACAGGGCTGCATGTGTCTGCAGGCATGGCCTTTTCTGTTCTGTTTTCTAGTCTGGTAGAGAGAGATGGGGTTCTTTGAATTCCTTTATAAAATTCATCGAGTTTAGATGGAACAGGAGAAAATAACTTCTTTACTTCTGCCTCAAGAGGGAGCAGCGAACCAGTGGAATGTAGTTGGTGTGTTTATAAATTTCCCTTAATTGCATCAAATCTTCTTGTTTAAAAGAATGTGCTTTTTACAAAATTTGTAATGTATATAGGTCCATTTAAGGTTGAATCAGTCTTTCAAAATATAATTTCTAATTGAGGAATAATCAGGCATTATTATATATTTGTGTGTGCACATACCTAAAAAATATATTGTTGTATTAATAGTGCCTATTGTGTGGCTCATGTGTGATGCCCTATCTCTTTAAATCTGAGTCTTTTCTTTCTTCAAGTTTTTATTTTCACATCCTTTAAAAAAAGAAAAAAGAGGGGGAATTGTGGAAGCTACCAGTCAGAAGTACACTAGTACTGCTTCAGTTCTGCGAGCTAAACTTGTATTTGGCTGTCAGTGGTGTTTTTGAAAAGCACAACAAAAAGTTTGACCTACTTATGATACCCACAAAGTAGGAAAGAATTAAAATTACTGTTTCAAATAGGCTTACATATTTTAATCAAAATTATATTCCAACAAAATGAAGTGGAAACACTTGATAAATACTTGAGTATTTGAAAGCTGTTCTTGTCTTCTATGAGAAGAATTAATGATATTAATTTAAGCTGATATTATTTAAAAAAAATTTTTAAAAGAGCGTGAATATGCATGCCTTGTCAAAATTTGGATGAAAATAAATTTTTCCCCCTTGCTCTTTGCTTGACTGACTCTAGTGGTAGCAGGCAACCTTCAGTTAGGGAATGCTCAACCTTCCCTAGCATCCATCCCCTTCTTGGCTGGTTCATTTCCACCAGATCAGGAGGAAGAAAGGTGATAATCTGCAGAAGATCCTACATTTAGGTCTTAATAATCCAGCGAAATGTAACAGAGACCTCCACAAGTGACTTGAGAAGCAAGCTTGTTGAGACAGAATGTTGGTTTACAAAGTGTTTAGCAAGCTGTGCTCTGCCTTACTGTGCAGAAAAATCTTGCCCAAGAGCATTGTGCTTTGTTACATTCAGTGTAAAGAACACCATTGTCTCTTTTTCTTATGAGTGGGGACTTTTTTTTTTCTTTGGCCTTTAGGCTGATTGTGAGTGGAAGGGCTTCCTCTTTTTACTAGTGTTCTGTAAAATGATATGGATCCCAGTGTTCTTGTGTGACTGCCTATCAAATCAAAAAGCTTGTCTTTCTCATACACCAGAAAAGCTTCTCAGAGGAGAGAAAAAACTGACGATAAACTTTTTATCCACAGACCTTAGCTGATGGCTGGAATAAATAGGAAGTTACTTTACTAAAGGAATGCCAGTATGATAAAAGAACCTGCAAAGCCAGCAGGAAAACCTTTAAGTGAAAACATACACCTGAACAATATAAAGCAAGTTTGTACCTTAAGCAGCTTGTGCTCCTGAAGTAATCTTCTATGTTCATTTCCCTTTTCATATTTCTTTTCTGATGCCTTCTCCTTGAAACTTGAGACCAAATCTACTGGGTACTTTTTTAATGCTCTGTGGCTGTCCTCGTAGCTGTAGACTATTTCCATCAGCAGTTGCTGAACTAAAGGAAGTGAAAGGGATGCAGGGAGGCATTAACTGAAGCTGCATCCTTTGCCTCTGCCCAGGGAGGTGTGTGCATGTGCAGAATTACCCAGTGCAGCAAAGGAGGCAATATTTGCCCCCCTGCCCCCGAGTACATGGGTTCAGGCTAAAGAACAAACCCAAATTAATGTTGCCAGCAGGGAATTGTTGTTTTTGCACAGGAAAATGCAAAATAACCAAATTTTTGACTTCTTCATTTTTTTAAAAGAATTTATGAAGCCTTCCCATACTCATTGTTGTAGCTGACTGCAAAAACAGGAGATGCATGTCATTATTTCTAAAAATAGCGGGGCACCTTTGTTTTTCTCAAGGCATCATTCCTCAGTTTGCTGTTATTTTTAGAGGGCATCCCTCCGCCAAGCTGGCACCTCTCTGAAGCTTGGTGTGTGGCAGCTTTCCCTCATTACACCGTCAGGGTTGACTGAGCCCTTCCAAGGAAAACTTGGCAATTCCTACGTAATTAAATTTGCAATGTCCAGCAATTTACAAATAAGCATCATCACAGAGGATTTGCATTTCTCTTTTTTTTTGTGTGTGGTGCCAGATCCATCCCTGCAGAGCTTATGCTCATGTGCTTATTTAGGTTTTTGACACATGTAGGTTTATTAAATACTTTTAGTAGTCATTTGAAATTAGTCTGTGTCATCTTGGGTTTAACATTTAGAGACTAGACACAGCGTATATAATTTCTGAGGTGTCCTTTGGTGGATGCCGCCCCTCAGTGGAGGAGCAGTATTTGTCTGTGTTGCATTTACTTTGCTTGGTCTTTGAAGAGAAATGTTTAGTAAACACTTGTGTTTGACAACAGTGCATTAGTCATACTTAGATATCTGTTAGTCACACAAACTGAGCCTTGAAAATGGGAGTACATAACCCCCGAGACCATAACTTCAGTATCCTTATATTAAACTGACTAGTCTAATTAATATTTTAGAATACTGAAAGAACATTAGCTGTAAAGTGCAAAGTCTCTAACACTTTTTGGAAGGGATGTTCTAGCTTTTGTTCATAATAAATTAAAAGTAAAAACTTAATATCTTCCTGGAAAAAAAATATATATTGTACCACAGTGTTAAATAACTGCTTTTAGGATTTCAAGTAGGAAAAGATAAGTTGTGAAATTAGCATTCCTGATCACTTGCCAATATCAGATTCTTGTGCTATTTATAAATCAGCCAGCTTCTGCTTTTTTACTTAAGTGGCAGGTTCCTCTTTGACAAGATTGGGGAGATTTTTTCATATTACCATTACATTGAAGGATGAAGAAACCACTCAGTATTGTTTGTTTCTTTTTGTCTGCAGAAACAAAAAAAAATGGAGGAGGGAAAAAAAGCCATGCTTGATATAGATAATTGTGGTAATTTTCTGGGCAGGTCAATAAAGGTTCAAAGTATAATTTAGATTGGTATGTTATTTCCTCTTCATAGTAGGCTGATTTTTTACTTGGAGTAAAATAGAGGAAGTTCAGCATGTTTATATTTAAACCTGTACTACAGAGTGAAGTCTCAAAGGAATTTAGGAGAGTTAGAAACACAACCTGAACTTTCAGCTGCTAACATCAGGGGCTTCTTGCTTTAAAAGATGAGTAAAAATCTACTGCAGTCTGGTAGACATTGATCACTTTCTGTCCACCTGGGAAGTTTCTCTGCATAGGGAACTAGAAAAAAGGTTTTCTTGCAGCAGACAGGGAAAACAGCAGCGCAGAGCAGGACAGACTGTGGAGCAGAGACCCCCAGCACAGCACAGATCCTTGGGGTCCATGATGGCAAGTAGAAGAGCAGTCAGCACTCAGTTCTGGTGGTATTCTTTCCATCTGTGAGGTTTGTCCTAGTGAGAAATCGGTAGCCTGTGTGGCTGTAACCTGTGTGTTTGGTTGTAGTCGGTATCAGGTTGTAGTCGGTATCATGAGTAGAAACAGGAGTCCAAAATGCAAAGTCCGCTGCAAAACGTGGTCTGTCTGTAATCATTAAGCATTAAAGGTATGTGCTGGGCTTGGTCAACAGAGCATGAACGGTGAAGTTCTCACTCCAGTGATTGTAAACAGGAGAGCTGGGGCCGGCACTGCCTGACGGGCTCTCCCTGCTTGTGCAGTTCATGGGCTGCCGGCAGCCTTACCCTCAGTCCTGCCTCAGACCCCGGTGCACACAACAGTGATTTGTTGTTGTTGTTATTGCAACAGCAACAACAAAAAATGTAACTTTTTTTGTGAACTTCTCTGCCTCTTTGGGGTTTTGAGGTTGGTTTTGTTTGGGTTAGTTCCCACCCTCCTTCCCCTTCTCTTTCAGTGCAACCTCTATGGTTCCTCATTCCAGGATTTGGTTTTACTTTTCCCCCAAAACTTGGCATTTTGGCACTTCCAAAACACAGTTTGCAGCTTGCTTTTAGCTGCAACCAGATATCTCAAATGCCAAGTTCTATACAAACCAGAGTCTAGCGTCTCTTGCCTCGGCACGACACGTGAAATGAAGAATACTTATCTTTACTTCTGAAATCCTCTTGTTTTCATGGCTTGAGCCATGACAGGGATGCATCAAATCACTTCTTTGAGTAAAAGGAGACAGTCAAAGTGGATCAGAGGCATTTGGTGACAAAGGAAGAGTGTCACCAGTATTAACAGAGCCAAAAATATATTTTATGTGATATTTCATGTGAATAAAAGGCTTTGGGTTTTGCCTCTTTCATTGACTGATTTGCTTTTCATTCTCTGTTTTTCAGGTGGCTTCCTTAGCAGGGCCAGGAGGGAAAGTCGAAATAGAACAAAATTTTCTCAATAACAAACTGAAGACAATAACAGCTTATTTTGGTGACCTAATAAGGCATGACATCTAAACTCAGTGTGGATTCTTCCAGACTGAACCTCTCTGACTGCTGCTTTGCTTAAGCTTTTGTACAGCTGGCTGGTCAAAAATGACTTGAAGCCATTTTCCACTTTAGTTTCTGTTGATTAAAAAAAAAAAAAAAGTTCTGTTTCTTGCTACTATCAATAAATGGTTTATAATTTGACAAAATTCTAAATGTATAGTAGATATCAATGTAGGAAAAAAGATCTTTATGAAATGCAAGATTCCAGTCCAACCAGTTGAAGGGAAGTTCAGGAATTCTTTTCAACTTTCATGTGTGCTGCTTCTGTACTTGCTCTGATATTGAGAATTTAGAGGGACAAAAAGAATAGCTTGAAAGCCACCATGTGTCCAGAACTGCTGCCTGTTGTTGAGAAACAAAAGCCATCTGAACTTCGGGTGGAACTTGAAGATCAGGTCCGCCAACAGAGGTTAACCACAGTTCACCTCAGGCTCCATGCTCACCTAGAAACTTGCTCAGCTTTTCTTTGTAGGATGAAGGTCTACACATTTCTTACAGCGCATACCCTGGCTTGTGGCACAGGGAGAGAGTGGGGCATGTTTCCAGCTGGCGGCAGGACTCAGCTTTCTGGGGTTTATTTTATATTTTTTCCTCCTTGCTAGCCCTCTTCATCACAAAGATATTTCAAAGAAATCTTCTTACTGGAGGTTTGTCTTGGTAACCAGAGGTGTGTGTCCCCTGCCTCTTTTTGAGGCCATTGGAATCCTTGCACAAGCTTCAGGGGGGGCAGAAGGAGCCCAGCTCCCCCTGGTGAGAGCTCTCAACTCTTACTTGAGGTTTTGGGGCAAAAAGCAGCTTTTGGGCTCTTCACCAAGCAGAAGAGGATGCAGGCAAAAAGTGTCCAGGGCACAGATATGGCACTCTTGCTGAATTAGTGTAAGTACCCAGGAGCAATTTTGAGCCTGGATTTGAGATAAGAGTGTAGGAATATAGTTTCTAAGACAATAAATTATTGCTGTTTCTCCTCTGCTTGGAGTGCAGCAAGACACTGAAGGCAGCAGAAACCAAGCACTAAACTGTGGATTAGTGCTGGCAAACAAACCTCAATAGAGTAACTGTGTAGAATAACCAGATAAGAGGATTTTATATTTTTTTGCTAATAAGGAATGAAAATCAACTATTCAAATCAGAGGGGAAACTAAAATGTTTCTGTGTGTATGGGATGTTAAAAAACATATGCAACCTGACTCCATGCAAGTTCACAGTGCGGTAAAATAGCACTTGGGACGTGATTTTTTTTCTAACTTTATTGTCCATCTAGTGCCATACCAAGTGCTAATGTTAATGATGATTACTTCACTGCTTCATGTAAGGTATTTTATATTTGAAGATAATTTGGCTGATTTGCTAGGAAAGAAGTGCTGTGATAGTGCCAGGCTCTGTGTCAATATTTAAAGGAAATAGTAAAGGAAAGAAATTGCCTGCTTTTCAATATTCTTTAGAAGTTTGCTACTAGGAGGTAGGAGAGGTTGGCAACAATGTCAGTATTATAGAAAAGTCCAAACCTATGGTAGCAGTAGCACGTGAATGTAACAATGCTGTTAAATTTCACTACAAGCTGCAAAAACAAATCCAAGAAAGAGTCAGGAGGCCAAATGAGTAATAAATTAATTTATACTGTGTATGTCACGGTACTCTGTAGACTAAAATTTTACTATATTGGGCTTGTTGCTCCTTACAGAAACACTGTGGTCTCTTTTTTTGGCCCTCTTTTCCTCCCTGAAGTTAAGGAGTAGCTTTAAAAGCATTTTGAGATCTTGCTGATTCTACTGCTGTAAAATGAAGCTCTATGGGGGAAATATCAGTGAATTTATTTTTACCTTCAAGAAAGTAGTCAGATTTTGTTCAGTGCCTAGTATGCAAAATGTGGAAGTTGGAATATGGCATGAAAGGTCTAACATTTGGTGTTTTAATGTTTACTTCCGATATAATGAACTTACTGGTAAAAAGGAATGATTTCTTTAAGCTCCTTGCTGAGCTTTGCAAGTACATGCAGAACCAAAAGTGGAAGAATATTCATTTCTGTTTCTCTGTAACTAACAAGTACAAAAGGTCTTTTTTTTTTTTTTTTTTTTTTTATTTTTTAAATACAACTCGAAGTCAGAAAACTCTGCTGGGTTGTAATAAATGTTTTCCCTCAGCTTCCCATTCAGACCGAACAGGTGAAATTCCCCAGAGCTGTGAATCGGTCAATTTGTTCAGCCTAAAATACACCTGCAAGTATTTTTACTACATTGTAGTAATTTCAGCCAACAAGTTCTTCATGGAGGACAGCTTCATTCATGATAAGGAGTTTCTGTAAAATATCTGCTTTACATTGTAGAAAAAAGTTAACATGAGCAGAGAGACAGTTAAATTTCCAGACATCTCATGTCCAGAGTTTTAATTCCCTTTGGGGATTTGAGTAGTATTTTGCATATGATACGTTAAGCTACAAAGAAGTTACATTGCTACTATAAAGTTAATACTCATGGGGGTTTGGTCTTTTACCAATTTTAAGCCACAAAATAAAAGGTAGGAAACATGCAGATTTTTTTTCAAACTTAACTAATATTTGGGCTAATTGCAACAAATACATACTGTTTTATACTTCTTGCTGTGCTCTTGAGCTCCCATCTCTTGGGTTTATCTTAATTAAATCCAATATTAAACCAAGCCCATCAGTGTCTTTTTCTAGTGCGTGGTAGGAAGAGAAGCAATGGAACATGCAGTTAAAAGAAGTGTATTCCAAGGCTGAAGCCTGACTCCAGGTCCAAGCAGAGCACAGCATCAGCGAGGCTGGGCAACCCCAGTTAGCACTGTGCCCTTCTCTGATCGAGGCCCCATTAGTGTTATGGTAAAAAATCACTGTTCCATGAAGTTTTAGTGTACAGGTTTTAGAAAATCTTCCCCAAGTGGCATGGTTTTGAATTAACATCTGGGACTGTATGGGAAACTCAGGGGTTATATAAACAAATTAATGTTACACTACAGTTACCGTGGTAACATTTAGAAGAGGGAAACCCCATAAATAGCAGAAGGAAAAAATTACTTGCAGTAACTCATTGAGCAAATCAGTAGAAAATTGGGTCATTTTCACTTGATTTACTCTCTCTGCTTTCATATGTGTCATACTCACTGTGCTTTAGCTGTGCTTCACTCATGCACAAATCTTCCTGCTTCCAAATACTAAGGAAAGAGGGTAATCCTAACATGTATTGTAAACTCATATAGCATTGCTACCTTTCCAGCACAGGTATCGCAATATTCCTGCCACTGGATCCAGAGTACTTTAAAAATCCTGATTTTCAGTGGCAAGGAAGTTACAGATTTCTGGATGAAAATACAGTAAAGATATTTTTTTCGCGTGTGGTGCAGTGGTGAAGGACTAAATGCTCTAAAAACAGGCTTGAAATTGATTCAAACCCTCTCCTGTTTCAGCTGTCAGATGAAGCTGTCAAGCACGCCAGCCTATTCCATCAGGACAAAGTATTATCAATACATACACTCTTAAAAAGTACTTGCAATAGTGTGTTGATTCAGTTAAGTCCCTCAAACACACAAAATAACTCAAACTAAAGAAAAAAAAAAGAAAAAAAATCCAAACCCAAAGAAGCTTGTTACTTGGGAGGCTGTAGAAGCCATCGCTAGCTGAAAGAAAGCGACAGGAACGGCTGAAATCAGCTGGAGTCATTGAATCTGGTGAGGCTGGAGATTTACCCGAGCAGTGAAAAATCTTAGCTGTAACCATGCAGGGAGGAGGCAGGAGAAAGGGCTGAGTCTGCAAACAGGGCTTGCCTACCCCAGGGTTCGGTTTCCACCTCTACTCAGCACGGTCCTGTGGTGTCTCTTAAAGATGCCTGAGGTTTTGGTAGTGCCTGAGTGATGCTGTGAGCAGGGCTCTTGCTGGGGTAGAGGTGAGCTGGGCAGCAGCCTGCCTGGGTGCTCTGACAGTGGCTGGGCTTGGCTCAAGGGTTTCCCAGCACTGGGGAATTCCCCAGCCAGGCACACAGCTCTGCAAAACACCCCCTTCAACATCCCTGCAAGCTAAGAGTTGGCCTTGGGTTTCTCCATATAAAGACCCAAGGATTGGTTTCTTTTTAGCAACTCGTGTCTTCCAGCATATGTTCACAACAGGAGTATCTCTAGGTGTCAGGGAGCTTGGTTTAGCCACCAGCCCCTTGTGTACTCTTCTTCAAGTCTCATGCAAATGCTTTATGTTTTGGCAACAGCTCTGAGATCTTGGCCCGTCACCTTGTGATGTTCCAAAACCAGAGCAAGTTTCAAAGTACTTCCCAGCTTTTTCACTGAAAACCCAAAACATCGCTCTGAGTTTCTGTGTTCTCAGACCGCTGAGGGAAAAAAAAAAAGTGCTGCTGGAGGCATTCTGGGTTTGATGATAGCACGATCCTTCCTGTCTCTGGGGCTCAACTCATTTTCTTTCTTTTTCTCAGGGCTGCACTGCAACCTTCTTGTGAAACTCCTGTGGTTTATTAGAGGAGTGCAATGGCATTGCCAGAGCTTTAACAGTGCATAAACATGAGCAAAGGGACTCACGGTGCATCTTCGGTTTGTTGGGAGTAATTAAATAACATTTGCCCAATATTTTATCCTAAAAATGTGGCCAAAGAAGGAGAGATTATTCCTCTGCGTAGTTATTGCAGGTTGATGCGGGGTGAATAAATACATTTATCAGATCAGTGCACAGCTACCTAGAGCTCTGGGGGTTCATCGCATTGTCACAGTGTCAGACACAGCGATGGTGACAGTGGCAAGAGCTTTTGTGAAAGGTGGTATTATGATCTGACAGCAAAACCCATCCTAAGGTATTCATTAAATTGTTCCAGGCGCTGGGACAGCCTATGATTATGTCAAACAGGGGAGCAAATTGTACACTCTGCTTTCCTGATATGCGCGAACTTAGTCTGAAAGTCTGCCTAGGAAGGTTAAACACAGACAGCTTTGCCCAAAAGAACTCCAAACTGGCTGATCCTGTCACCCTGGAGGGTCGGTCTAGGTGGGGACCACCCATGCCAAACGTCCATGTCGGTGCGGGAGTGATTTCCAGTGG